TGTGAATAAAGAGCTTTCACATCATTTAAGGCAAGTATGAAAAAAAAAAACTGAGAAACTGACTAAAAAAGGATTACATCTGCTTGAAAACACGACTCCACCACCCCCTAACTCAATGCTTTATTTATTGAGGCAAAGCTTGTTAGTGAGCTGAGAAGCACCAGTTTTTGCTGTATATGTAGGCTATATATATATATATATATATATTTATGTATGCATGTATTTCATTAAAAACTTTAGCAGTAACTGTCAAACAGTTCATTCACCTGTTTGTACTGTTTAGTTGTCGAACGTGTTTGCTGAGTTTACCCAAGCTGTGGTGAGATTTATGTTGTGGTTAAGAAGATTTTTTTTTCCAAGAACGCATTGCATATGACATCACATGTGACAGCAGTTGTTCTGCTGACAGGTCATTTTTTTGATATTCTATTGTGATACGGGATATTTGGCTTTTACAAGCACTCTGTTTGCAGGCCGGATCTTTGTGCAGGTAAGTCTGTCTACATGCATTAAGAGTAATTTAAAAGAGATATCAATGTAGCTGTTTCATAAATTGTGTGTATATAAACATATAAGCACATTATTAGATTTTTATATGCTACATGATTAACAATTTATAATACTAATGAAAAATTTACAAATTGGTGGCTGAGAATGGATCTTCTGCTAAAAAAAACATGCTTTCATTCTGTCTCATAGCTCACTGTCAGTTGTTTAAAATGAAATTGAGAACATTTTGAATATACATGTATGCCCGGTTTCACATTGTGTCACAATCTAACTTCTAGTTTTCTGGGTTCCTGCAGATTACATCATTAAAAATGTTTTGGCTTTTGTCAATGGTTTTGGCTCTCATCACAGTGGTTGACACCTGTCCGATACCCTGCAAATGTGAAGATATTGACATCATAATGTGTTCGGACCAGAGACTTCTGGAGATCCCTCTTCTGCCTAAGAGTACCAAGCAATTATATGCTACACATAATATGATTCAAACTCTCCCAGATGAAGGTTTGGAAGAATTGTTGGTTCTCGATCTCACCAAGAATGTCTTCAATTTGTCACTCAATACCAACTGGCAGAACATGAGCAATCTTACAAAGCTATTTCTGAGTGGAAATGGACTGAGTACATTAACACCAAGACAATTTCAGGGGCTGCTGAACCTCCACATGTTGGATCTCAGTGACAACTACATTAAAACTCTTCCTCGAAAGTTCCTTTATAGTTTGACCAAACTTCAAGTCCTTATTCTGAATATGAACAAGATATTTAGTTTATCCTACGGGGTCCTGGACGGAGCTCCTGCTCTTACGGACTTGCAATTGAGAAGTAACATGATTGAGATGGTCGAGGTGGGTGTGTTTGAGAACTGCACACATCTAGCAAAACTTTATCTGTCAACGAACAACCTAAAAAGTGTAGGCAATGGGAGTTTTAAGGGTGCCATAGGGCTATATCACCTCGATCTTAGTCAAAATGGACTAGTTGCCATACCTACCAGTGTCCTTCAGGACACTCTAAACCTCACTAGCCTCTATCTTCAAAGAAATACCATAACTTCAATTTCTGACAACATTTTCTCTGAGATTCCTGCACTGAAGCATTTGGATTTGAGTCATAATGCTCTTATTTCCATGTCCAACGGTTCCCTCAGAGGTCTTTCCCAGTTGGGCGCACTGGATCTGAGTTTCAATCAGTTGGGGACACTAACGTCACATCTGTTTCAAGACTTGGTAAAGCTTGAGAACCTTAATTTGTATCACAACAAACTGATGTCGCTTCCCAACGGTGTGTTCAACAGCTTAAGCAGGGTAACAGAGCTTCAGCTGGACAGCAATAACATTTTTGTAATTCCACCGGACATCTTTCACCCACTTTCAGCTTTGCATGATCTACAACTGGACAACAATCACATTTCGGAGCTCCATTCACACACATTTATGAAGCTGAGTAAGCTTAAGCATCTCGATCTTACCAACAATGACCTTGTGAAGATTCCCAAGCACCTCTTCAAAAGGACACGTCATCTGAGGGATCTTAACCTGGAGAATAATCATATTCGCTACATTCCAAAATTGTCCTTTAAACACTTAGTCAGACTACAGACTCTGAAACTCAATAACAACCACCTGGCAAGACCCTTTGCAGAGCTACTGACTAGTCTTAAGTCATTTACGAGAGTTATGGCTGAATAAAAACCAGATAGAAACCATCCCTATTGGATTATTCACAGGTCTTACAAACCTGAAGTTTCTGGACTTGTCCAACAATAAATTGCGTTCCATCTCTTCTGATACCTTCAAAGATCTCTCAGTATTGAAAGAGCTGGATCTGAGATTCAACACTCTTGATAAACTTCCAGATGATGTCTTTACATCTTTGAGAAATCTCAAAAGGCTTCACCTGGAAAACAACCAGCTCACACGCTTGCCCACCAAAGTGTTTTCTGCTCTATCCAGATTGGAAGAGCTCCATTTGGACAGAAACTATCTCCAGCACATTCATCCAGCACAGTTTGAAGGCTTAGTGATGTTACGCGAACTTGATATTAAATTTAATCAACTGCGCTCAATGGAAAAAGGGACTCTGATGCCTTTAGGAAATCTAACGCTTATCCATCTTAATGGGAATCCATGGAATTGCTCTTGCATGTTCATTCTGTATCTAAGTCAGTGGTTTAACAATAATACTCACTTAGTAAAAACTACACCCATGTGCTCATCTGGCCAACATTTTTCCTATCCAGCTCTTTTCCCGTCTTCGTTATCACAGCATTGCACAAGTTCTGCATGTTTCTCTTTTAACACAGAAAAATTAACAGTTCTCATTGCTTTCTTTCTGGGTTTTCTTTTTTTATAGACCTATCTATGTGCTAAGCTCTTAGATCTGTATTGTTAAAGTGTTGAGACAAGAAAACACCACTTCTTTATGCTTAAAATGATTTATGCTTTTGACATCTGAAATGCAACTGTTGGGATCACAGGAGCAATATACATGAAGATATTCCATAAATACGCTGAAATATGATTTATCTGAGATTGAAAGTTATACATTAATATTCCATAAAATAAACTGCTATGCCAAATACTTTACTTCTCAGAGAGTGTGTGGCAGGATTATGCATTTTAAGGAGGCCACATGCTGAAGCTGCTAGAGGGAATTTCCACTTACTCATTTCAGAACCCAGAGAATCAGATTCACTTGCATTCACTCATCTGGGTGTTTCTAAGACTTTTATATAGGTCTCTAAACAAGGATGTACGACCGGACGCAAACTGTGGTTGTTTTTCTGCAAAACTAGGTTGATAAAATTTTCTGTATATGCTTTTTCATTTTACAGGCCTAGTTTGTCAATAAAATGTTCTAAGGATGAGTAGAAACGGACAAAAAAGATATTAATTCAAATTTATGAATAAAAATTGCTGGATTAAGTTGTAGTAAGTAATTTACCTACATTTGACAAATGTTTTGGACCTCATGCATGTAGAATTTTAGCCCACCCTTTTCCATAATTTAATCACTGTAATTTGTAGGTTTTAAAAGTAATCACACTACTTATGTAGAGGCTGGCTTTACTAGAAGATTAATAGTCTATTCAGGAAGGGTAAAAGATGAGGAAATGCCTTGAAACATCTACATCTAAATTATATTTGACTAGTTAGTGTTGTCTTTAAAGTTACAAAGTTGTAACAGTTTTTAAAATAGAGTGGAATATCCTATACAATAATGTTTTGACTGTTTATGGGCCCAACTCAGTATTAGTAACAGTATTGCCTTAACTAATATTTAAAGTATGTAAATTCAAAACAAATGGGGGTCAAATCAACACAGTACTGTTACAGATCATGTAACCAACTAGAACCGGCTATATTTTATTTGATTAATAAATCATCATGATCCCTTTTATCAAAATGTAGGATTATTTCAGGATTGTCAAACTCAATTCCTGGAGGGCCGGAGCCCTGCAGAGTTTAGATTCAACCCTAATTAAACACACCTGATCCAACTAATCAAGTCCTTCAGGCTTATTTGAAAACTACATGGTATGTGTGTTTAAGCAGGGTTGGAACAAAACTCTGCAGGACTCCGGCCCTCCAGGAACTGAGTTTGACACCCCTGGATTATATGCATGTTGCTCACAGTTCTTAAAGGGATACTCCGCTCAAAATTTAAAACATGACGAAAACGCATATTGAAGCTCACACGAGAAGTGATGTGGAAGCACAGAGGACCATCCCTTCTCACAAGAGATTCACAACGTGCTAACTTTTGCGTGAACTCATGTGATGGTTTATAGTTAAAGTTTGGGTCGAAACGTTGTATTAATAAATTCCTTGGGAGCAGTCTTATCAGTGTGCGGACAATTTTTTGTTTTGTTTGTATTTATATTATTTTTGTCCTGCACCTGAGCCTTCGGGTTTTTGGGATGTGCACGCTTTTTTTGTATTTTTGACTAATAGTTAAAGTTTAAAATAGTATTTTTCCTCACACACACCAATGGTTTTGTTTTATAAGACATTATTTTAACAACTGGGGTCAACTGGGCTACAGATTACCGCTGTGTTTGTTTTGCGTGGTTTTAGAAGTGTCAACTTTGAGGGTACACTTACATTATATGGACTCATAGAGATGGATTATTTTTCGAATAAATCTCTGTTTGTGTTCCACAGAAGAAAGTAAGTCATATACATCTGGGACATCAGGAATGTGAGTTTAACTATCCCTTTAAGTTTGTCATCAAAGTGAACTGAAAAAATCCCCAAGAAGAAACACTGTGTCAATAATTTAATGTTCTGATTTGATCAGAACAAGTTCCCAATCCACAATCTTATCACTGTTCTTTTTCATGTTAGCTTTTGTGAGCAGTAATGCCAAAATAATTTCCCTATTTTAAAAATATAGCCGAACAAGGTAGCAAAACTAAAAGAATGACAGACCATTTAAATAGACACATATTAGTATCAAAAGAATATTAAAAGACTAGATCACTAGTTGGCATGTTGGCTTTGATTTATTTGTCAAAGTGTTTAGAGATCATTTAACATCTTTTACACTGAAATATTTATATCTAACTGAAAAAATCAGCATATGGAAATTAAGACGCACGTAACCCTGTCTGATCTATTTGGAACCGTTAAACTGTGTAACTTAAAGGGATAGTTCACCCAAAAATGTAAATTCTGCCATCATTTACACACCCTCATGTTGTTCCAAACCTATATGCCTTACTTTCTTTCATTGTAAAAGAGGATATTTTTAGAAATGTCTTTTTTTTGTCAATACAATAAAAGTCAGTAGAGAGGTTTACATCACCATATCAAGAGTAAATGATGACAGAATTTCCATTTTCAGGTGAAGGATCCCTTTAAATTTATACACATTTATGGCACCTCAGATTTCTGAGATAAGCAAAACTTTTCCCACACTTGTCACACACATATTGCTTCTCTCCTGTGTGAATATGCATGTGAGCTTTGAGTGAATTCGACTGGTTAAATTCCCGCCCGCATTCGACACATCTGAACGGCTTTTCTCCGGTGTGTATGCGCTGATGTCGACGGAGATTTCCCAAGGTGCAAAAACCTTTCCCGCACGTGTCACAACTAAAAGGTTTTTCGCCTGTATGTGAGGTCTGGTGAGCCTTAAGGCTGTTCTGCTGCCGAAATGTCTTCCCACACACCAAACAGATATAGGGCTTTTCTCCTGTATGAATCCTTTCGTGAGTTTTCACACCAGCAACACTCTGAAAGGACTTTCCGCACAAACAACAGCTGTGTTTGTCAGTCACCGAGTGTTTGTGCTGGTGAGATTTCAAGGTGTTGATGGAACCAAGGGTCTCGCTGCACACTGTACAATTGACCGGCAACTGTCCCTCGTGAATCGGGAGATGCGTTTTTAGGGCGTTTAAGCAACCCAAGACCATCCCACATACAAAACAGTGGTGTCCGTTTTGTCCCGCGCGCTTTCCCTCATGCAGCTGAAGCAGAAACTTCTGGACAAAGCCCTGACTGCACATTTTGCATTTGTGTGGTTTCTCGCCAGTGTGTTTGTGCTGGTGAGATTTCAAGGTGTTGATGGAACCAAGGGTCTCGCTGCACACTGTACAATTGACCGGCAACTGCCCCTTGTGAATCGGGAGATGCGTTTTTAGGGCGTTTAAGCAACCCAAGACCATCCCACATACAAAACAGTGGTGTCCGTTTTGTCCCGGGCGCTTTCCCTCATGCAGCTGAAGCAGAAACTTCTGGACAAAGCCCTGATTGCACATTTTGCATTTGTGTGGTTTCTCGCCAGTGTGAGTTAGATTGTGTGCCTTCAGTGAGTCGAGCTGGTTGAAACTTCGCCCGCACGTCTGGCAGGTGAACGGCTTCTCACCTGTATGAATTCTCTGGTGGCGAAGTAGGTTGTTACGAAAGTGGAAGCTCTTCCCACATTCGTCACATTTATGCAGCTTCTCTTTCGAATGCACGACCAAATGCTTCCTGAGACAATAAGCTTGATGAAAAGACTTCCCACAAACTTGACATGTAAAAGTCTTGTCTTCGTTATGAATCCTCTGGTGACCCTTCAGCTGTTTGTGTTCGGTGAAGGTCTTGCCGCATTGATTGCATACATAAGGGCTCTTGTCAGTATGAAGCTGGTAGTGTACATCCAAACTGCCTTTACTGCCAAAACGTCGACCACACTGCGAGCACCTAAAGGGTTTCTCTGCTGCCACATGAATGACCTGATGAGCTCTCAACAGAACAACCGAGTCAAATTTCCTTCTACATTGTTTACAGCTGAGCGGTTTACCTTTCTTCCGACAGCTCACGCGCACACCTCTGCTTTTTGACACGCTTACACTTCTAGATACTTTCACATTATCCTGAGTCACAGAGATGTTTTTAGTATTTTGCAGTCCAGGGCAGCTGATGTCCGCAGCATCATTGTCCTGCAACACCACAAACTGAGGATGGTTGCTGTTTTCTGAAGAATCCACTGACTTTTCTTCCCTAATGATCGCGGTCTTCTGTGTTTTAGTGGGCTTTTAAAAACAGAAAAAAAGAACAATTTATGTCAACACGAAAGAAATGTATTATTGCGGTATACACTACTGTTCAAATGTTTGGGGTCAGTAAAATATTTTGTAATATTTTGTGGTGTAGATTTTGTAATGTTGTGAAATATTATTACAATTTAAAATAACTCTTTTCAGTTTGAATATATTTTGAAATGATTTATTCCTTTGATGGCAAAGCTGAATTTTCAGCACTCATTACTAGTCATTAATTGACATGTTCCATCAGAAATCATTCTAATATGCTGATTTGGTGCTCAAGAAGCATTTCTTATTATTATTAATGTACAAAACAGTTGTGCTGCTTAATATTTTTGTGGAATTTAGTTTATTTTTATAAAGAGTTCTTAGTCTTGAACCAATCCAACAATCTCTGAGATTAATTAGACATTATAAACTTTAATTGTAATTGATGTAGCATTGTAAATGATTTAATCAAATAATGATAAATGGTGTTTAAAACTACTGCCTCATAGTCATAGATTATAAGCATAAAACTATTTATTTGAACATAATTGCAAAATATTAAAATATTTACAATTAATATTAAATTCATTTCAGAATGTAATGAGAATTATTTTTCTGATCACTATTTAGAATTTGGGTATTGTAGTTCTACACCGAAAAACCATCAGTTAGACATATCAAAAAGAGATTTTTACTTTTAGAACCAAACTGTTGCACTCTATTATGCGTTAATGACTTACTGTTTTCACATGGTCAGTGTCTATGATCTCCTCCTGTCCCCAGCTCACAACAATGGCAATTTTCTCCGCAGAGACTGCAGTGGCACAGCAGATCATAAAACTTAAAGATTTGCTCTGAGAAGCACAGTGGTGCGGATGAAGCATAAGCATTGAATCTCACCTAGAGAATGTTGGTCAGTGGACTGACTTCTTTGAGGACAACTGCCGGTTAGATTAGTCTCTCCTTGTAGAGTCTTGTGCTGTTTCTCAGATTGATTCAGTCTTGTTTTCAAGCCATCCTGTGCACTCGGAATCATTTCATGGTGCAGAAGTGCAGAGAAAAGCTGGCATATTTTCTCCACAGCTTCCTTTGCGTTACGTGTTAACACAGAGTTCAGCTGGGTCTCAAATACAGGAACAAATCAATAATAAATTAGCCTAAATTAACATGTCATTCAGTACGGATTAGCTACAGGACCTGACAGGATAATTTTTTCTTACAATAATTTTGATAACAGGATTGTTATCCAATGTCTCAGCTAAAGTAATGCAGTCAATTTGTAAACAAACTGAGAAACTGGAATGAAATGATTTTGAATGAAATGGGTGTCACAACTTTAAGGAATGTTACAATTTTTAACAAGGTTACAAAATGGTAAATATTACGTTTAAATGATCACTTTATCTGTGACTCTGAGCCTCAGAGATACTTGTATTTGATTATTCACTAAACACATTTAATTATATGTTAATTAAATCCTTCAGGTTATGAACTATGGCTTAAATACAAACGCAGCAAGCAATAAATACGGTCATTTCGTGCACTTTTCCCACACTTACTGTAAAGTCCAGGGTGGCTGACTTGTCTGCTGTAATTTGTGGAGGTTTGCCTGAAGAGTCCACGACTTTCGTCATTTCATTGACCGTTGCCTTTACGAGTGTCTCCAGAACAGAGACAACCTCAGACTCCAACAACGACATTATTCTCCTGTTGCTGTTTTTGGTGCCTGAACTCATAATGTTCTCTTGTATTGAGTAGTGAAGCACTTGTGCTCACTGCTGCCCCTCACTGGACTGGAGTTTATATGCAGCACAGTTGTTGCTACATTACGTTTGACAAAACCTTATAGATATTATACAAATATATTTAATTTTAAAATAAATGTACACACAATTCTATAAATACAGCATCTAACTACATAAATTATATATTTTATATTTATATATATATTTTTGTGACCTATTTGAGGTTTTGTTTAAGGTGACAAAATGAAGAATTTTTCACTGAATATTGAATATTTACAGAATTTTTGAATATTTTATGACAGCAGACGCAGTAAAATGCCCTCATGTTGTTGGGCATTTTACAAAAAAAGGCTTTTTTTTTTTTGCACAAATCACAATATTCAATTAAAATCTAAAATCGATATTTTAGGTTGGATATTTATATATTTTAGGACCTGAAAAAAATATAAGTAGACTCACAAGTCAAGCCATTTGTATTATGTTTATTATAAGACATTTGATTTGATTTATACAATGGCTTTTAGTTTTATATCCTTGATTAAACAAGTGTGTGTTTTTTTCAAATTGTGACATTCACAAAAACAATTAAAATGTAATGTTCAACTATTTCCTTCCAAAATTACAAGGAAAACATTTTATTTATTTATAAATAAATAAATACAGTCAAGCATTTCATGTAACTTTCACAAAATTATTTACAATCCTACATGAAATTCAAGCACCTGTTGGTAGACATTAGTTCAGCAGTCTGAAATCTCTCAAAGTGGAGCACATTTGTGATCTTTGCAATTTCTCTGATAGGCAAAACTTTTCCAACACTTAGTGCATGTGTACGGCTTTTTACCAGTGTGAATGTGCATGTGTGCCTTCAAATTGTTGGGCTGTGTGAAACTCTTCAAACAAATGTCACAGGTAAACGGCTTTTCCCCGGTGTGCACGAGCCTGTGTCTTTTCAAATTGGCCGATAAATGAAACGCCTTCCCACACGTTTCACACTTATGAGGTCTTTCACCGGTATGAGTGCGTATATGCATCTTCAGAGAGCTCGACAGCTTGAATCTTTTTCCACACAATACGCATTTGTGAGGTCTTTCTCCTGAATGCAGAAACATATGGGTTTTATACGAAGCCCTCAGAGAAAAGTCCTTACCACAGATCTCGCACTTGAAAGGTTTCTCTCCCGTGTGAAGCTGCTCATGCATCCGGAGGGAATGCACGCTGCTGTACCTTCTGTCGCATAACGTGCACGTATGAGGTTTGCTGTTGTCCGAATGCAATTGCAAGTGAGCTTTTAACGCGTAGGCAGAGCTCAGGAACTTCCCACACACGTCGCAGCGCTGAGCGTTACTCTTATCTCCCGGATTTCCAATCTGATTATGTGTTAGAATGTGGTTCCTCAGGACGTAATTATACTGGAATGTTTTCCCGCACATTTCACACATAAATCGCTTTTCTCCGTGAACTCGCATGTGGCCTTTCAGAGTGCTTCTCTGGTTGAATCTTCTGCCGCACACCTCGCAGACGTACGGCTTGTCGCCGGTGTGAACGAGGATGTGGCGTTTTAGAGTCCCGGAAAGTGCAAAACTTTTCCCACAGATGTCGCACGTGTGTGGCCTCTCGCCCGTGTGCACGCGGAGGTGGTGTTTTAAAAGTTTATGGTATTTGAAGCTCTTATTGCAGTGGCTGCATTTTATCGGCCTGTCGTTTGAATGAATTCTCTTGTGGTAGTTCAATGTGCCAATCAGGGAGAAACACTTTCCACAGGTGTCGCATCGGTACGGTTTTTCGCCCGTGTGCACCCTCTGGTGCATGTATAAGCTTCTTTTGATTGTGAATCCCTGTCCGCATATTTCACAGGTAAACGGTTTGACGTCGGCGTGAACCAGTTCGTGCGCTGCAAGATCTCTGAAGCTCTTTCCGCAAGTAGCGCAGGGAAATTTCTTCTTCTCGAACTTCTGCGAGTGTTTGCGAAGGTGAGTCTCTAGCGCTCTCAGCAGTGTGAATTTCTTCCCGCACTTTTCACAACTGTGAGGCCTCACGATTGAATGCACACGTTTGTGCTGCACGAGAGAAAACATCTTTGGAAAGGCCTTTCCGCACTGCTCACATTCAAAAGACTCTTTCGCTTGTGGAACTTTAGGTTGATTGGTTGATGTCTGCAACACACCTTCCTGATCTTCAGACCAACCCCTGTCATCAGCTGCAGGTGAAATAAAAACAACATCAGGGTCAATCAACATCAATCATGGTCTATTCATATATTCAGATTAGTACATTTAAAATAATTTACACTGATAAAATAGTACACAACATAAGCAAAAATGTGCATCAAGTCAGTCAATAAGGTCAATTTCAGGCTGACTTTCAGAAATGAATACAGCTCTTTCCAATATATAATACAAATTATGCAATATGTTATATTTATATAATAAATTGAGATTTGTTTTTTTATTATTTAAAATGGAGGTCTAATGCTATTTCATGCATTCTGACTTATTTACACAGTTAAAGAGTTGGATTCTCATGCTAAACATGGCCAAAGTTTCAAAAAAATGAGTTGGACGTATGACAGAGTATTTCTGTGCCAAATCCACTCCTTCATGGTTTGAATAAGTTTCGGAAAGTTTTTTTTTTGACTATGGCTCTGTATGACGTCATAAAGGGCGGAATTCCTTGTATGGGCACTTCTCCCGGAAGAGCGTGCGCACACAGCAACCAGAGCAAGAGCACGCCCATCAACATGCTTCATTCCTTAATTCGTTAGTCATAGTTAATTGAAGTTAAAAAAAATGCTTCATTCGTTAATTGCAGACGATCGCTATGCAAAAGCATTGCGTGCTAAATATGATAAATATGATCAAACTAAAGACTCTTTGGAGATATGAAGAATGCAGTACTACTCTATAGGTACTCAAGATTAACATGAGACTGGCGGAACTGTGTGTGTTATGTCCCTTTAAAGAACTCTTGAAGATTATTAAAGTTTACATTTAAAAACTTTAGCATTTAAACATTTAAAAACTATAATACACATCAACGTTATTTTAATACGAATTATATTCATTAGTTTATATACATATATTATTAATATTTTAATTAGCCTTTATTTTTATATTTTTTGTTTTTTTAAAGTTTGATTAATTTTGTTATGTGTTTTTGTTATTTTTTCATATTTTTATTTAGCTTTAAAATTTATTTCAGTTTCAGTAATTTTAGTACTTAAACTTATTTTATTTCAGTTAGTTGCCATTAATTTTGTTTCTTCAAATATTTATATTTTATTTCAGCTTTATTTCAATTAAAAAAAGTTTTAAATAGTTTTAATTAGCAATATCAACACTGACATATAAATTAACACATGCAAGTGTGGAAAATGTGTAAGAGGGTGAGAAATTTCAAACTAAAAGTTGAGTCTCTTACCGTCACTGATGAATATTGTCTGGATGGTTTCCTCTCCTCTGTCCTCCATCATAAGACATTTGCTTACATTACTTTCCTGTGCAGGCTATAAGGGTCTCAACCAACATTTATCACACTGTAAGTTATATCTTTAAAAGAAGTTCCTCTTTAAAACTGCATTGTATTATTACTCACCTCAGTGCTTGAAGGTTGCTGGTGAGATGTTGTTGCTGGCTCCTTCAGAGGACTCACAGAGAGAGATACAGAATCTACTGTAAGAGAGGAACACAAAACAAAACAAAACAAAACTCACCACAAATACTAAGATAAAGGACGGAGAGTGCTAGAGTAAGTCTTCAGGCTCGCAACTCGTGTGGCCTGATATTGACATCTATATCAAGTACCCTGAAACTCTTGGTTATGGATATATGTTGCTCCACTGAGATCACGTCCCAACTGAGATGAAGTCTTCCTCGGGTCGTCTCGACCATTCAAACATAGTTGTGCTGGAACTGGTGCACTGGATGAACAGTATCTGAAGAGACTGCAAATCTTCTGCACTGCTTCTTTGGCAAACCTCTCCATTATGGAATTAAGCTGCATTAAAAAAAAAGAAATGCTACAATTAAGAACAAAAATAACACTATAAGAATAAAACATAATTCATCAGGCTGTAAAAATAAAGGAGGGTTCTCTCTAACATATTACAAAAATCCATGTTAAAATTCCTTAATAACAGACTTTCTTACCATCTGAATCTGAGTATTGTTCGGTTTGATAGTGAGACTGGATTCATCGGAGCTGCATGTAAAAGCCTTTCGGATCTCGTGATTAGCAGTGTCCGTCAGGACTGACATGATCAGAGTGGCTTGACTCTGAAAAAGCTCAAACCGGGCCATAGTGACCACAGTTAAGAGAAATGCAGCAAAATCAACTCAACTTGTGTTTAACAGCTGGTACTGCCAGATTGAGAAGAAAATAAACAAAACGTTGAACTAAGCAGTAAAGTACTTCCTCTTTGTTTTATTTTAAAATAAAAGTCTCTCAATGATCGGCATTCGCCATAAAAATTGCTTATGTTATGACTAACAAAAACAACGTAAGGAGTTTAAAATTCAGTGGTACATTGTTGAGGGCATTAGACTGTTTTGGATCAATTTGATCTTACAATGGTTTTGCTAAGACCCATTATAGACCTGTGACTAGAACAAATATACTTCCGAAACAGATTTTCAACATAAAAGTCGTTGAACGCTCTCTAATTACAAAAGGAATAATACAATTCCTAATTACGTTTCTCTTGATATCTATTTGCATGCTTAAGTTTAGTGATTTAATAACAAGTGCTGTAAGTTTATTTGAGAGAATTCAGAAACCATTCTTGATCATAAGTTGTTCTGGAATTTCTGATGACTGGATAAGGATTTTTAAAAACACTTTAAAAATATATATTTTATATCAGATAAATTCGCTAAGGAATTATTCAGATCATTTTGTAAAACAGTTTGAATATTCATTGAAAAGTTGAACAATTGATTCACAACAAGCTCTATAGAATTGGCAGTACCTAGCTGATGAAATCATTTATATCAGAGCACATCTAGAAACATTTAGATTCACTTTTAAAATGTCCATATTTGGTTATTTTCAATAACTTTCTCAGGCCTGGAAAACACAATGAACACAATATAAATTCCCTCATATTTTCAGGTTTTCCATCACCACGCCAACGTATTAACAATAATTACTATGTTTATTACTATGTGAACGTATCATGATAGTATTAATCACATTTTTTTATATATAGGTCCATATTATGCAATATTAAAAATAACAACAGCTTGTTCAGCCTAATGTTTTATTTAAATGTCTTCACAATGTTACCCAAACATTTGTCTAGGAAATATTACAATATGAAAAGAGTCCTGCAGTTGTTGTAAGTTCCTACCACAACATCTTTTTCATACAGGTTTGCATTTGTGATCATTGTAATGCCTAAGATATACATAATTCTTCCCACACTTCTGGTATGTGTAGGGTTTCACTCCAGTATGGATTTGCATATGTGCTTTGACATGGTCGAGTTCTGCAAACCCTTCCCCACAGACCTTACAGCTGAACGGCTTCTCCCCAGCATGGGCACGCTTGTGTCGCTTTAAATTTCCATACAAGCAAAAGCTCTTTCCACACGTCTCACATTTGTGCGTTTTTTCATCAGTATGAGTCTTCATATGCATTTTCAGAGAGCCAGACCACTTGAACGCTTTCCCGCATACTATGCATTTATAAGGTCTATCTCCCGAATGGCACAACATATGTGTTTTAAAGGACTTTCTGAGAGCGTAGGCCTTACCGCAGACCTCACACTTGAATGGGGTCTCGCCCGAGTGAAGCTTCTCGTGTATGCGAAGATTATATATGTTGCTGTAGCTCTTCTCGCACAATTTGCATGTAAAAGGTTTGCTGTTGTCTGAATGTAGCTGTAGTTGAGTTTTTAACACGGACTTGGAATTCAGAAACTGCTCTTCTTCTGAATTTCCAGTATGATTGTGTGATAAAATATGGCTCTGTAGCAAAAAATCATGCTGGAATGTTTTCCCACACATTTCACACTTAAATTGTGTCTCTTCGTGCACCCGCATGTGGACTTTTAAATTGCTTCTCTGGCGAAATCTTTTACCGCACACTTCACAGATGTACGGCTTTTCTCCGGTGTGAATGAGGATGTGGCGTGTCATAGCTTCATGATGCGCAAATGTTTTACCACAGATTTTACACGTATATCGTCTCTCACCGGTGTGCACAGGAAGGTGGCGCCTCAAATGACTCTTGCACTTGAAGCTCTTATTGCAGTGGCTGCATTTTATTGGCCTGTCATCTGAATGAAACTTCTTGTGGCAGTTTAGGGTGCCTATTAGAGAGAAGCTTTTCCCACAGGTGTCACATGTGTACGGTTTTTCGCCCGTGTGCACCCTCTGGTGCATATATAAGCTTCCTTTGACTGTGAATCCCTGTCCACATGTATCACAGGTAAACGGTCTGACTTCCTCATGAACCCGTTCATGAGCTGCGAGATCTTTGAAGCTCTTTCCACAAGTAGCGCAGGGAAATTTCTTCTTCTCGAACTTCTGCATATGCTTGCGGAGATGAGTTTCTAGCGCTCTTAATTGCGAGAACTTCTTCCCGCATTTTTCACAACAGTGCTGCTTTATGACCGAATGCACACGTTTATGTCGAAGAAGAGAAAACATCTTTGGAAAGGCCTTTCCGCACTGCTCACATTCAAAAGACTCGTTCTCTTGTGGCTTATCAGGTTGCTCGGCTGATGTCTGCAACACGCCTTCCTGATCTTCAGACCAACCCCTGTCATCAGCTGATGAAAAAACAACACAATAATACAACATTTGTTGATCATATAAGCTATTAAAGATTCCTCAAGACAGAAGTGCTTCAAAGATCACATGAAATGCCTTTTCTTACCATATTTCCTGAAACAAGAATTTGGGGATATATCAAAGGGCTTTTTTTGTTTTAAATATCAAATAGCCTTAAGTCTATATGAGTGGTTCTCAACCCTTTTGACTCAAAGACCCCCCTGTTGTCCAACACAATATTTAAAGTCTTCCCGATATAGGTTTTTCTGGTATTTCTGCTGTAATTATTACAAAGCTGCTTGTTTTCACATTTTTTTAATTAACAGAAACTAGACATATTGATATATTACCCTGTAAAGCTTGACAGATGAAATAATTACCAATCACAGCACACGCTGGCCCAGCTAACCAATCACAGCACACGCTGGCCCAGCTAACCAATCACAGCACATTTCGTATTTCAGAAGGCGGGCCTTCATTTGAAACAGGAACTATTCAGATGGTCCTCACCGCAGAACACAAGATCCAGGGGGCGAGGTTGGATCCAGATCCAACTCCTCCCACCTTACATATATCTAAACCTACCCGTCTCCACCCCCTGATCCCTAAACCCACCCATCTCCACCCCCTTAGATGTGGATCCAACCCCGCCCCCTGGATCGCCCCCGGGATCTTTGTTCTGTAGTGAGACTGACTATTCAAGCCGTTCATGCCAGACTGGGGAGAGAGGTGTTGTAATAATGTAAAATATGTGAAAAATAATGTGTTTTTCGAACAACCTAGTATGAGAACCTGTTCTAGTACACCCCCAAAACAAAATCAAGACTTTGTAAAAGAGCATAATAGGACCCCTTTAAAAATAATTTGGCCCAGGCCCAATTATTAATTGAATGAATGAAAATTTGATTAATACTTATCAAGCTTTCAAATCAAATGTAACACTGTCCTATTGTAAATATTTTTGTCTTAAAGACAAGAGAACCTTTATGACATCTGTCTGAAAGAAACGGCAAATATAAAGAAAATGGCACTGCAATTCAGGTCGCAGTATGCTTGAAGGCAACATATTTTTCACACAGGTATACATTTGTGATCATTGTAATTTCGACGGTATGCGTATTTCTTCCAGCATTTCTGGCACGTGTAGGGTTTCACGCCGGTATGGATTTGCATATGTGCCTTCACATGGCTGAGTTGTACAAACTTTTTCTCACACACCTCACAGCTGAACGGCCTCTCACCAGTGTGGACCCGCTCGTGTCGCCTTAAGTTTCCAGACAAGCGAAAGCACATTCCGCACGTTTCGCACTTGTGTGGCTTTTCACCGGAGTGAATACGCATATGCAGTCTTAGACTGTGGGGAAGCCCGAATTGGCTTCCACAAACAGAACATTTGTAGGGTTTAGCTTTGGTATGAACAACCTCGTGCATTTTCAAACCAACTTTCTGAGTAAAAGTCTTATCACAGATGTCACACTTGAACGGTGTCACCCCCGAATGAAGTTTCTCATGTTCCTTCAGCGAATACATGCTGCTGTAGCTTTTACCACAGACTTTACACATGTACGGATCCTTTTCCGAATGGAGTCTCTGATGCATTCTGAGCATAGCGGTCGAACTGTAGCACTTTCCGCATTCATCACAAGGGAAAGATTTGCCATTCAGTTTGGCTTTATCACTATGTGTGAGTAAGTGTTTCTGTAGGGCATAGTTAAAAACAAAGCTCTTCCCACATATTTCACACATAAATGACTTCAGAGCTCCATGTATTCCCATATGCCTCTTCAGAGATTTGCTCTGATAAAACTGCTTGGAACAGATTTCACAGACGTGCCGTTTCACACCGCTGTGCACAAGGAGATGCCTTCTGAGATTTGTAATGTGGCCAAACTTCTGCCCACATTCGTTACATATATGGGGTTTCTCTCCTGTATGCACAAGCTGGTGCATTTCCATTTTCTTTTCGGTTTTGAAAGTCTTGTCACAGAGGCTGCATTTCCACGGTCTGTCTCTGGAATGAGTGATCAGATGGCTGGCGAGGTTGCCTGAGTGTGAAAAGTGCTTCCCGCAGGTCTCACAACTATATGGTTTTTCACCTGTATGGATCCTCTGGTGTGCCAGTAAACTTCCCTTTACGGTGAAGCCATGTCCACATGTGGAACAAAGAAACGGCTTGACTTCCAGGTGGACACGTTCATGCATCTTAAGATTTGCGAAGGCTTTCCCGCAAGTTTTACAGATTCCTTTCTTCTCTGTGTGATACAGTAGGTGTTTCCTTAATCCTTTTAAGTATTTAAACTTCTTTCCGCACTGCTCACAACTGTAAGGCCCTTTTAAATGTCCACATTTGTGCTGATCTAGTGAGCGTCTAAAGAGACATTTCTTTCCGCACTCTTTACAGTCATATGGTTTTATCTTCTCATTTTTTTCGGATTTTGTACTTATTTGGTCTGCTTGTGTGTTTACTTCAGTTTGCTGGTCTTCAACAGAGGTGATGGTACTGTATTCACCTGCAAAACATTAACAGGGTTCCAGTTACTGAAAGCTACAATTATGTCTAGCTGGTTTAAAAAAGCCTACCACCTTTAAAATGTTTGGGGTCAGTAAAATTTTTTAAGGAAATTAATATTTTATTATCAAGAACACATTACATCAATCAGTAGTCACAGTAAAGACATTGATATTATTACAAAAGATTACGATTTCAATTAAATGCAGTTCATTTTAACTTTTTATTCATCAAAGAAAAAAGAATCATGGTTTTCACAAAAGTATTAAGCAGCTGTTTTCGACATTGATAACTGTTTTCAACATTGATAATAATAAAAAATGTTTCTTGAGCACCAATCAGCATATTAAAACACTTTACGAAGGACCATGTGTCACTGACTGGAGAAATAGCTGCTGAAAATTCAGCTTTGCCGTAGAAAGTTATTAGAAAAGTACAGAAGTTATTTACATTTTTTGGGGGAAAAAAAATCACAATATGGTTTTTACTGTATTTCTGATCAAATAAAGCATGAGCCATTGCTTTTACAAACATTTAATAAATCTTACTACCTCAAACATTTTTCCTTTAAGCCTAAATAGAAATATTTATATCAATAAAATTATTCATTAATTATATATAATTGTATTACGAGCACTTCCTGTGTTTATTTGCCTCTTTATGAAGAATCGCTTGTTGTATTCCCCAATTGTAAGTCGCTTTGGATAAAAACGTCTGCTAGATGAATAAATGTAAATGTAAATTATACCAAATTTAATTAATAACTAACTAGTGAACAGTTTTCTCATTTATGTTCATTAGCTAAAAGTAACTGTCTAGTTGATTTTAGTGAAATGAGATTTAATAAATCTTACTACCTCAAACATTTTTCCTTTAAGCCTAAATAGAAATATTTATATCAATAAAATTATTCATTAATTATATATAATTGTATTACGAGCACTTCCTGTGTTTATTTGCCTCTTTATGAAGAATCGCTTGTTGTATTCCCCAATTGTAAGTCGCTTTGGATAAAAACGTCTGCTAAATGAATAAATGTAAATGTAAATTATACCAAATTTAATTAATAACTAGCTAGTGAACAGTTTTCTCATTTATGTTCATTAGCTAAAAATAACTGTCTAGTTGATTTTAGTGAAATGAGAAAAAAATAGTAGTCTAGAAAAGTGATGGATAGGGAAAAGTGAGGCTATTTCAAAATATAGGATATAAACTAAGCATAGTGCATTTTGCATTATTGACACACTATTTTCCTAATTAATGCTGTTCAGTTGCTTTGACACAATCTGTATTGTTAAAAGCGCTATATAAATAAAGGTGACTTGACTTGACTTGACTTGACTAGTGTCTAATCAATCTTACAAATAAACACTGAGGTACTTTGGGTGTTCGTTGGTCTAGAATTATTGTTTTAATGTTGATGTGGTCCGCTGCCTGAAGAAATATGAAAACCACTGGTCTAGAGTCTAATATTTTATCATTTAATAATGCCAAACATATTGAAGTAAAGTTGAAATAAATAATCGCTTAATAATAGACAGATTAATTAATTAATTAACATTCAATCAATTACTACACTTTTTATACATATATTTTATATTTTATATACACATAAATAACAAAGCTTTGCAGCACATACCTATAAAAAAGGCTTGCACTGGGTTCTCTTGTCCACTACTTGATGATTCGGGACGAAATTTAGAAACGTGACCCTCCTCTGCACACTGAGAGAAAAAATAAAATCAAAACAAACGTTGTTGCAAGCATTTTAGCAAACAACACAGAGTTAAATCATTTCAACAATGAATTCACCTGCTGGCCTTTAACAGAATCTTGTGGTTGTATGTTTTCTTCAGGTAACGCAGTGAGCAAATTCGGTCTCTCCAGAGACACTGATGGAGCTACAGCTGCAGAATCTGAGAGGAGAATGAGAAATTCCTACAGTTAACATTGTAGTGGATTGAATATGACTTTATATATGACATTATAATACATGCAGGACATCTTACCAGGCACAACTTTGACAGTTTGATTGTTTTTTCTTTCTGGTTTTTTCACATGCTCCTTCACCAACTCTTTTACATTTATTACGCCGTCATGGTAACTTTTAAAACTCTTCAGCTGAGTTGGCTTAAGCGCAAAGCAATAACTGAAGACTTTGCATATTTTTTGAACAGCCACCTTGGTAAAGGTCTCCATCAAAGCTGTGAGCTTTGCCTGCAACAGATATTAAAGGCACAATATGTAATTTTTGCCACTGGAGGGCGCGTATTCAAAATAAACAAATAGACAAAGTAGCTTGATGACGCTGTGACTGAGTGTGGAATCATGAGAGTTGTGGTCTTCATCCCCACAGCCGATGCGATCCGACGGGACTCGGGCAGAAATCATGTTCATGAATGAGCTAATGATTTATTAAAGGGGTCATATGATGCGATTTCAAGTTTTCCTTTCTCTTTGGAGTGTTACAAGCTCTTGGTGCATAAAGAAGATCTGTAAAGTTGCAAAGACTAAAGTCTCAAATCCAAAGAGATATTCTTTATAAAAGTTAAGAGTCAGCCACACCTACCTAAA